GTAGTAGTGTGTGTGTGTGTGTGTGTGTGTGTGTGTGTGTGTGTGTGTGTGTGTGTGTGTGTGTGTGTGTGTAAAATCAGGTTTATTTAATACAGAAATAACAGGAAATTTATTTAATACAAAATGAAAAAAATTTCTAAAGCAAAATTTGAAGAATGGAAATATTTAAGATCTTTAATAATGTCTATGTCTTGTAGTGCATCAGCCATATTACATTCGCGTGACCACGTTTTGATCACGTGACATCATTGTCCCTACGTCACATTATGTAATACATAAGTTTTTCAACTTTCAGGCTCAGTAAATAGAGGAGTTAGCGATCTAGTGTATAGTATAAATGTTCGGAACAGTTCTCGGTTTAGTTATATGGCAGCCAACATCTAGAAAAAAAATTAAGCTAAATTATTACCATCCGGAATATACCCTTAACACAAATAAAATTGATCAATGATGTTATGTCCTGAGATGGCGTAGAACGGTTAATGGAATTTGAGAAGGGATATCTAGTGTATTTATGTTCAATGGCGATACTGGATATGATTAAACTATATTTTCGGATTAGAACCCGCGACTGAGCGGAAATCGCGGGGAAATATGTTTTGTTAATATAATAATGGGGATATAATATTGTATTGTAAAGTTATGATTGTTGGTGTAATTGATTGTGAAATTGTGATTCAAAGTTATTTAATAAGAAAGAAATGAAGAAAGAAATGATTTGTTTGATTATGTAAAATATTAAATGTATGTAAAAAAATTATGTAACACGAATAAATAGTTACATTAAAATAATAATAATAATAATATAATAATAATAGTAATGAAAGTATTAATGAGAATTATATGGTGAAATATAGTGATGAATAAAATAATACTAAAATATCGGAAATACAGGTTTACATATATATGAATATTTGATCTATGCAAAAGATGAGGGTAATATAAGCTTAATTATGTATGAAATGGGAATGGAAATCAGACAATATTAAATAGGAATGATAAGAAAATAATGTGTAAATTCAAAGATATACGATTAAGGAATATTAATATACACATATATACATATACATATATATATATATATATATATATATAAACAGAGATATCGATGTTGAACAGACATGGTCTATATAATATGAATGATATACAACTCAACCAATATAAAAATATCAAATATGTAATAATAATGAGATAAGATGTAAATATGATAATTAAATTCTAAGTTATCTCTAAAATTTATATAAGTAGTGATATTAAAATGAAATGAAAATCAATAATATAATATAAGCAAATCAGATAATATAATATAATATAAGAAAATCAATAATATAATATAAGTTGGTCGAATAATATAAGCTAATCAAATAATATAATATAAGACAATCAAATAATATAATATAAGAAAATCAAATAATATAATATAGGCAAATCAAATAATATTCCAAATAGTATTAGAAGCAATGATTACCTTAAATTATTAAAGGTAAGTTATTAAAGTATTAGAATTCTAGTGATTTTCTTTTCTTTTCCTTTTACTTTTCCTTTGTAATTATAAAATGTAATTCCTTGTAATTATAAGACTCAGCGATTTAAGACAGTGACTGCACTCTCTGACGATTTGGTAACGACTGCCGCATCTGCATCCAACTCTCTATCTCTAGGGTAGGGCCCGATGCAAAGGGGCAAATAAAGCACTCCTCGACTGAGCATTTTATTTCGTGCTACGATTATTTACACGAAATTAAGAGAAGATAAAAGGAAAAGAAAGAAAGAAAAATAAAGCTAAGACATAATATTTTTTTGGAGATATCGTTAATACTTAATAATAAATTTTATTATTGCAAAACGAGAATTCATTATAATTCGTTATAATTCATTATAATTCGTTTTCGTCAGTTAAATTTCATTGCGCAATGAAAGACTTTCCGAGCTAGTCCTTTGTTTCGAAAGTTTACATTAGGAATATTTGAGTGCGATAAGCCTCCCCTTTAGTATAAATTAAGATCGTCGAACGCTCCTTTGTCTCTTCTACAGTTGCAGCATCGAGAACCGAAGAAGAGATGATTCGAGAAAAAGAAAATTAAGTTATAGAATTATATTTCCAAATTATATATCCAAAAGAAAACAATAGTAATAGTAAAATAAAATTATATCATATCGCAAGACGAAGGAAAATGAGTTCTTACTTTACCATTAATTATCTTAATAATAAAAGTTATATAAAAAAAAGGAAGAATATAAAATGATAAGATTATAAAATGATAAAAGTTATATATCTTAATATTTAAAATCGCGCATGCGTTAACCTAAGGTACCGCTCGACTGTACCTACGTCATTTCAGGTGAACGTCCGCAAGTTATATAAAATTTTTTTATTCTTTTAATTTTCTGCGGACGTTACAATAGAATAATCAGCTAAATTAACCAAGGTTAGTAAAAGAAACCCTAAAAGAAACAAACTCATTTTGAAAGGAAATTGCTAGGGAATTTTATTTATAAAGTTTGGACAAAATGTTGAATCGATTTGTGCCGCGAATCATGCGAATTACTGAAAGAATTTTATATGTGTAGGAGGAGTATATTCGGAAATGTAAGATATAATCTGTATTTGTGCAAAACAAATAATAATCTGGTAATAAGAAGAAATAAATTAATAAGCAAGATCTTTTCCTCTTGTTTGCCTTTGCGCACACTATTCTAATGAATGTGTATTAAGATCTTTGGAAATGTTCGGAGTATAGGTTATGTTTGTTTAGTTTATTGTGTTTTTTCTATTTTTTTTTATGGAGTAAAAGTGTGTTTCTTTCTCTCTCTCTCAGATGTTATGATTGTAACCATATTTTAGTAGAAGTGAATTTTTTTTATCAAAAGATATTTTTTCTGAGCAATCATTGCCCTTTACGAAAATGTTGCGAAAAATAAACGGCTTACTACAAATTACTGTGAGTATTTTGTTGATGAAAGAAATTTCCAATGATAATGAATTTATTGAGAATCTCACGAAAATTTATGACGCATTTTTTTTTTTATTAGACTTGTGGACACAGAATAAGTAGCAGATATTTGAATTTTGTTCCTATTGTAGTGGAACAAAGTGGACGTGGTGAACGAGCATATGATATCTATTCGCGTCTCTTGAAAGAGAGAATCATTTGTCTCATGGGTCCAGTATGATGATATAATTTTTTTTTAATTATATTATACATAGTTGATAATTTTAAAACAGCTGATTCAATTTTTATAGGTTACAGATGTTGTAGCTTCTGCAGTAATTGCTCAACTTCTTTTTCTTCAATCAGAAAGTAGTAAAAACCCAATTCATTTGTATATCAACTCACCTGGTGGTAGTGTTACAGCAGGACTTGGAATATATGATACTATGCAATATGTTCTTCCTCCTATCTCTACATGGTGCGTAGGTCAAGCTTGTTCTATGGCAAGTCTACTTTTGGCAGCTGGAACCAAAGGCATGCGCCATTCTTTACCAAATGCTAGAATCATGATACATCAACCATCAGGAGGAGTACAGGGACAAGCTACAGATATCCAAATCCAAGCCAAGGAAATACTCAAATTGAAGCAACAAATCAATGAGTTATATGTCAAACATACTGGACAGAAATTAGAAGAGATAGGTATGCCTATTGTGATATTCTTTCTAGGCTATATCTTATATAAAATCTTTTTATTTCATAAAAATTATATCATTATAGTAAAGAATACAGAGAGAGATTATTTTATGAATCCAACGCAAGCAAAAGAATTTGGAATTATAGATAAAGTACTGACCCATCCTATGCAAGAAACTGCAGAAACAGCAGAAAAAGACAATACAATAAAATCTTAATACTGCTGATAGGATAGGATAGGACAGAATGGGTTTACAGGTTTCACGTTATTGTTATATTATAACAAATGCATTAAAAAGGTGCATCATTGTTTAATAAAAAAAAACTATAAAACAATTATAAACTATATCCTATTCAACTACATTTGAAAATAATATATCCATCTACTTTCAAATTGGCATATATAAAACATACTGACTTATATAACAGCGATATGAGTATTAGAATCGATGTAATCATCTATTTTTTTCAAGATATATCTTCAGACAAGCGTATATATATATATATATATCGATAAGAGCAAGTATATGATTTGCAATATGATAGCAAACTTGGTCACCTACAATATATTGTCATATGTTTCTGTGTTTATAACTCATTAAAAAATGTTTTAAATTTGCAGATTTTCATTTTTTTAAATTGTAAAATTGAATTATCATTATATATACCTACCCTGTTTGCATAATTGTTATCTTAAATTTTATTTAAAAATGCTGTTTATATAGTTTATTATTATTGTGAATATCACATGCGCATACACATCTATCTTACACATTCTTTTTCAATTCCGAATACATTGCAAAATTGCATCTGCTGCATCTAACTATACTCTGATTTGAATTAAACAAGTCTTACGAAATATAGATAATGGAAGACAAAACCTTGCGAAAGATATACACATGTAAGCAATTTGTGCAATGTGTAGAAAAAATATAAATTTCCATATCATGTGCGTCATATATCTTTATATAAATGTCATCTTTGACAACATTTAAATATACTATTCAAT